AAAATTATGGCACGTAAAGAAAGATTCTTTCTCACTCCTTTCTCCAAATGAGTTGGCTTGATTAAAATAAACAGTGGTGCAGAACAACATAGATGCGCCAAGTGAATTTCAGTGATGCACCAAGTAAACTTGGATTAATTAAATGATTTAGTAGGAGTGATAACAAAAATTTTAGTAAACAATAAGAGACCGACACATCATTGATTTATAATTCAGTTTTATTATTAAAAAATTTTTATACATGCAATATTGCATGGTGTCATATGAAAAATTATAAAAAGTTATAAATTTTGATACATTTCTTATAAAAACTGGAGTACAAAAAAGTTATAGCACTTTTAAAAAGATATTTTTTTCTCCTCCCTTTGTCCAAATAATAATTTTCTATTTTTAGTTTTATATATGCAATACTGATTACATATGAAAGATCATAAAAATTTTGAATTTTGATACTGTATAATTTTTGTAAAATTTGGAGTAAATATAGCAATTTAAAAATAGTTTTTTTTTTTCCTTCACTCTCTCCAAATGAGTTGGTGTAATTAAAATGAATAGAAGTGGTGCAATGAGCAAGTAAAAGTGATGTACTGAGTGAACTTGGATTAATTTAATATTTTCGTAAAAATAATGATAATTTTTTATTAACCAATAAGAGATTGACACATCATTAATTTTTAACTTAACTTTATTAATTACATAGTATATAAGACACTATTGTTTTACATATGCAATATTGGTATCATATAAAAGATCATAGAAAATTATGAATTATGATGTATTTTTTCTAAAAATTGGAGTACACATAAAAAAAGTTAGAACACTTTTAAGGGGGTGTTTGGAACTGATTCTGCTTCTGCTTCTTTTTTAAAAGCAGAAGCAGAATCAGAATCAGTTTTCAGAAGCCGGTACCCCCAGCTTCTAAAAAAACTGATTCTGAGAGTAAATTAGAGCTCCAGAAGTGCTTCTGGAATTTCACCCAAACACTCCAGCTTCTGCTTCTGCTCCCTGAAGGAGCAGAATCAGTTTTGACAATCAGATCCAAACACTCCCTAAAAGGGAGATTTTTTCCCCTTCCTTTTCTCCAATTGAGCAATGAAGCACATAGTTAATAGCATTGTTGAACCAAGTCAATTTAAATGAATTAAATGTTTTAGTAGTAATGATGATATAATTTTCATTAATCAATGGATTTTGCACACATTTTTTATATGAAACAAAAGGTAAATATTTTTTATTTGTATATATATAATATTTACTTCATAAGAAAGATCATGAAAAATTATAAATTTTGATATATTTTTTGTAAAAATTGAAGCAAAAATAAAAAAATTATGTTACTTTAAAAACTAAAATATATTTTTCTCCTTCCTTTGTTCCAAATGAGTGGTGTTGCACTATTGTAGGGAATGGAGGTAGTAATGAACCGTCAGTTAATTAATTATTTTAATAGTAGTGATAATACTGTTTTTATTAACCAATAATAAGCTGACACATAATTGATTTTTAACTTAATCTTACTATATAAAACAATGATTTTAAAAAATTTGATAAAAGAAGAAAAAATGAATTGGAAAATGTGAAACAGATATTACAATGTTCAATATTATTAGACTCTAAATGTTCAACATATTTGGCTTTATGCTCAATATAATTATATTGATACTCAATAATTAATAGAAGTAGTGATTTTTAAACACAATCACAGTAATTCACTGCTGCCCCAAGTATAAGAGACTTACATAATTATTTGTCCTTCTAAAATGTTCATTAGTTTTAGAAATTAAATATAAATATATCATGACTTTTTTAGAATTACGAACTCCAAAAACTTTGCCAATAAATATTTGGCCTTCTAATTTTTCTAATATTTTTTATTGAAAAGGGTCTTCTAAAAATTTCTTAAATTTAGAAATCAAATCCAAATACAACTTTACTTTTTAAATGTACAACTTTACTTTACCGAAGATTCAGCCCCGTATTGAGCATTGTGGTAACCATATATTAATTAAATGTTTTAATAAGTAAAAATAATATAATTTTTGACAACCAATAGAAAACTGACAAATCATTGATTTATAACTCAGTTTTATTATATAAAATAATAGATTTTAATTGCAGTGACAATAACATTTTTATAAATCAATAGAATTTTTGACTCAGCTTTGCTATATATATAAAATGCTACCTTCGTCCCATTCAAAACTTCTGGTTCAGTATTCTCCAGTCAACCAAAATGTTCTTAATCTATTACTTTATATTATCCAACTTTTATCAAATATGAGTTTTATGTAAATATGTAAATTTTATTTTATAAAAGAAATCTAATTACGAACACGGATCAATTAGCTTAGCTTTATGGTTAGTAAAATATCGTAAACCATGTGATAGCCTTTCTAGGGAACGTAGAGAGTAATAGATCTTTTTTATTTTTATATATATGATACTGGTGTCATATGAAAGATTATAAAAAGTTATGACTTTTAATATATTTTTTGTAAATGTTGGATTATAAATATTAAAGTTATATGACTTTAAAAAAGAGAGATTATTTCTCCTTATTTCTCTCCAAATCAGCCGTGATGTAGGAGTTTTTTTAAAATAACCGTGTGAGTTATTTAATTGTTTTAGTTGTTGTGATAATAGAATTTGCATTAGCCAATAGGAGGTTGACACATCATTACTTTTTAACTCAACTTTACTATATAAAACTATAGATGGTATTATTATATTATATGGACTATATTAATATCTTCCGTTCATCATCATTACTCCTGTACTAATAGGGAGACTGTATCTGGATGGTCAAAATGACGTCGCAAATTACATGAATTGACTGTTGCTTCATAACAAAGAAGCACAAACAGTTCAATGAGTCTTTTTGCTCTATTCCGTCATATTCTCAAACCAAACAATATGAATCTTTGACTCTATTGCAAATGATCAAAAGTATTACATATTGTTGGGTGTGTTTCAGAAAATAAAGAAAATTAATTAATATTACCTCCGTCCCACTAAGATTGGTGGGACAAGAGAAGGTGACACGATTATTAAGAAAAGTGGGTTTGTGTGGTTGATATTAAATTGATAAAGTAAGAATAAAGTAAGAATGATTTAGAGCCACACAAAGTTTACCAAATTTGGTATGAGACAATCTTAGTGGGACTTTCCAAAAAGGTAAAATGGGACAATCTTAGCGGGACGGACGGAGTATGAATTAATTAAATAAATGACTTAAGAAAAACAAGAAATGAGATGGAGCAGAATTTAGCCAAAGCTCGTGCTACGCATGATGTCCTTAAAACGTATTTGTTGCCTCCCGGGGTGCTAGGAGCGTTGCAACGATAGTTTTCCAGGATACGATGACTATGAACAATTGTTTGAGCACTCAAACGAATTGTTCCGGCGAGCAAGAACAAGTATGAACATAGAAGGAATTTTCAGAATGCTAACAGTGTTTTTCGAGAGCTCAAAAGTACATGAGTTCGTTTGTGAATGTGTCTTGTTGTAAACCACCTGCTAGCCAATTTATTGGAGGATTTGTGGTGTGTTAACTGAAAATTCAACCCAATACAACACAGCTCCATCTACACTCCCTGGACTTCTCATATTCAACTCATAAATAATTTAACATGACCAATCTCATAAAATGTTAGGTAGGCTCTACACTCTCCAGACTTGTCATATTCAATTCATACATATTTTATGATGACCAATCTCATAATATGTTATGCAGGCGGATTTCTATGGCATGAGCAATCTCTTTGGCGGGCCGATGTATGCTCTGATATTCCGATCTTCTCAGTCACCAATGGTACTAGGGAATTAAGAGTCATTCTCAGTCACTTTGAAGGGTTGAGGGTGTTGGCTATAGCAGTGGAGATTCCACATCTTTCAATTTGCCCACTTCAGATTCTTCACATTGTCGAAAGAGTCAGGAAAAACATGAAAATGCATTGAAAGCAGAAAACCGTGGCAGATTCTTCAAGTTGCTTCAATCTCATACCAAACTAGACTAGACCAAACTTAAATATACTCTGTATTCCACTCTTCTATATCATTTGTCTCACTTTCCTCTTAGAGTTGTTCCGTATTATTTGTCTTACTTCTTTACTCGTCTCACTTCCTTATTTGGAAATAGGGCCACCTAAACACAAAATTTACGCTTCAACTGTGCACCATCAAGTACCATAATAGTAGCAAAACAACAAATTTTCCCACACTCTTAAATGAGCCGAAAACATAGAACAGATACAATAACATTTAAACCTTGGTTTCAAAAGATATTACAAGACAAATTTTACAAGACAAAATATATTATAAGACAGATTATCATCATCATCACCTCAGACTCCCCAGTGGCGCAAAGGCTCCCACCTACGGTGTGTAGATGGGATAAGAGGGGTCAAATGTACGCAACCTTACACCTGTACTAAAGAAGCGCAGACAATTAAGTGAGTCATTTTGCTTTATTCTTTCACATTCACAAGCAAACAAATAGTGAATCTTTGCCTCCATTGCAGTTTGCAAATGATGGGAAATATTACAAGACAGATGAAGTAATAAAATAGGGAGTAGTATTTGTATTCTTTCCGTTCTATATTACAAGACAATTTTGCTTTTCACATTGTGTCTAACATGTACTTCATAAATGTAATGCAATTTAAAAACTGTGGGTGTGGTGTTGTATCATCTGGTCCCAAATTATAAGCCAAAATGGCTTTTTGCAGAATTTTTACAAAAAAAATTGTAGTGCACTTATAAAAGTTGCCCCACAACTAGGACAACCTTTGAAAATCATCGAGAGATTAAATTAGGATCAAATTTTGGAGAATAAAATATAATTGTTCCTCTTGGATACGGAGTATTATTGTTTTTACCCCACCACATCTTGTTTGCATTCGTTGTCATCAGGCACTAATCATGCACTATAAATTGAATTATCAAAGTAAGTTGCCCATCGCTTAATAGCCGTCATCTCTTCCTTTATTGGCTGTTAGGAGTACAATTTAAAGTTGTAGTCTTTTTGCTTTCCTTCACGAAACAAACACTTGCCTTCAACCATGATTGATTATTTAAGAGCCAGAAACACATTACACATTTCACAACCACTACCATGAACATGATGGCTGAAGAGCATAATGCCGTCTCTTCTACGACACCGAAAACATGGCTGGAAAGTGTGTTGAGGGAGCTGAAAGTGCAGAGGCCAATACTGCTCCCGCTGCTAGCCATGAACTTCACGTGGTTCGCCAAGATCGCAATCACAACTGCATTTCTCGGCCGGCTCGGGGAGCTTTCCCTGAGCGGCTCCACCCTCGGCTTCACCTTCGCGAATGTGACCGGATTCTCCATCTTGAATGGCCTCGGTTACGCCGTAGAGCCCATATGCGGACAAGCCTTCGGTGCCAAGAACTTCAAGCTACTTCATAAGACACTTGTCATGGCTGTCATCTTGCTTCTCTCGGTCTCGGTCCCGGTTTCTCTTCTCTGGCTGAACATCGACAAGATCCTCATTCACTTTGGGCAACAGGAGGACGTGTCGGGCGTAGCGAAGAGCTACGCCCGACATCTCCTCCCAGACTTATTCATCATTTCCTTCTTGTGCCCTTTGAAGATATACTTAACAGCACAAAACATTACAGTTCCGATCATGCTAAGCACTGCGATCGGGGTAGCGTTTCACATCCCGTTAAACATGCTATTGCTATCCAAGGGGGTGGAAGGCGTTTCCATGGCCTTTTGGATAACAGACTTTGTAATTCTTCTGATGCTCTCCTTATATACTGTGATATCGGAGTGGCGAAATGGCGGGAAGTGGCAGGAGGGAGGGTGGTTGTGTGATCAGAAGATCCGGGATTGGATCAGCTTGCTTAAACTCGCGGCCCCTTGTTGCTTGACGACTTGCCTCGAATGGTGGTGCTATGAGATCTTAGTCTTCCTCACCGGGAACCTCCCGAACCCGAAACAGTCACTCGGAATTGTAGCCATTGTGCTCAATTTTGATTACTTGCTGTTCTCCGTTATGCAATCACTCTCAACATGTGCCTCCATTCGTGTTGCCAACGAGCTCGGAGCCGACAATGCGGGGGGCGCCATCGCCTCGGCCTACGTGTCCCTCGCTCTAGGGTTCCTATCGGGGGCGCTTGGCGGGTCCGCCATGGCTTCGGCCAGAGGTTTTTGGGGTGCATTGTTCACTCACGAGAGAGGGATCATCCGAGGGGTCAAAAAGATGATGTTGATTGTGGCAATTATGGAGGTGGTTAACTTCCCGGTGGCGGTTTCCGGGGGAATAGTGCGAGGAACAGCCCGCCCGTGGCTGGGAACGTACGCCAGCATATGCGGCTTCTACCTCTTAGCATTGCCGTTGGGAGTGATACTGGCATTCAAGATCCACCTTGGACTTGCCGGATTGCTGACCAGCTTTGTGGCCGGAGTGGCGGTCTGCTTGGTGGTTCTGCTGCTCTTTATTTCCAGAATCAGATGGGATGAAGAGTCCAGTAAAGCACAACTACTGGCCGGCGGCAATGATCAAACGTGACCCCAGTAATCAATCAAGCTGTTCTTTCGATGTCTTTTACAATTAAAGAAACAGCGTTGGAGTAAATTTATCAGAGGAACAGACCTAAGTGATGAAGCTATCAGAAACAAATAGAGCATCCGACAACAATACAAGAGCTAGTGATGGGATAGTATGAATTACTTCTACTTCTACTTATTTAATGTTATTAATAATATATGTAAGTGTAGCTTTGATTGTAGAGTTATGCTAGAGGGTGTATTAGAGCAAAAGGTATGGATTTGGCAAGATTTCCAAAAATTTTCAGGAGTGTAACTCACTCTTAATCTTAAATGTTTTACATGTTTAAGATTTTTCCAAGGGTTTACTCAAAACTGATTCTCTAACTTCTTTACCGCGAACAAAACTATCTCAAAATGTTATTCTCATTTAAGAAGTTTATTAAAAGCAAGTTATTAAAAAGCTTCAAAAATATCTTTTGAGTTTGGCATGAACCAATCCTAGTTCCAGTCTCTCACAAGTTGGTCCACGGGTTGAGATGCACTCAATCCAGATTAGGGGTCGACCGGTTCCGGTTCGGGCCTGGGCCCGGCCGGTTCACGGTTCTGTTTTGTTGGGCCCGAACCGCTAGCCACCGGTTCCGGGCCGGGCCAGGCCGCCCGGTTTGTAATTTTTTTTTGGTTTCTCCTATTTAACCCCCAACCCACCCCCTCACCCCAACCCACCCGAAACCACCTCAAATGGACCAAAATACCCAGCCCAACCCAAAAATTTAAAAAAAAAAAAATCAGAAAAAAAAATTAAATTCGGCCCGGACAGGGCCCGAACAGGGCCCGAACCGGCCGGGCCGGTTCACCAAATGGAGGGCCCGAGCCCGGAACCGAAGCCCACCGGGCCGGGTGGCCCGAACCGGGCACTAACCGGTTCACCGGGCCAGTCCGGGCCAGCACAGTAGCGGGCCGGTCCGGTTGGCCCGGCCAGAGTCCATCCCTAATCCAGATTGGCGGTGGTAACTCCAACCCCTAGCCAGTCTAGATTTTTTTTTTTTAGTTTTTTATGTTTTTACTCCTTTACGGCTGCTTCCGTACTTTTTTTTATCTTTTAAATGGATTTACGCCACTTTTAAATACTTCCAAGACTTGAAATTCCAAAAAAAAAAAAAACAGAAGACTGAAACGAGACCAGACTGGGCCAGATAGTTAGACCGAAACGGACTGGCTGGTTCCACTCCAAAAAAAACCCAGGCCAATCTCCTACCCAAACCCAAGTAAACTGGGCTCGGGAGCTGAACGGTTCCCGTTACAGGCAGTCCCAGACTCCCAGACCAGTGAACCGGTCCATAGGGATGGACTCGGGCCGGGCGGCCCGGCCCGGGAACCAGTCCGGGGGGCGGTTCGGCCCGGCCCGGCAGGAATGCGGTTCGGGCTCGGGCCCTAGGATTGGTGAACCGGCCCGGCCGGTTCGGGTCCGGTTCGGGTCCGGTTCGGGCCAATTTAATTTGTTTTTAATTTTTTTTAAGTTTTTGGGTTGGGCTGGGTATTTTGGGCCATTTGAGGTGGTTCGGGGTGGTTTGGGGGTGAGGGGGGAGGGTTGGGGGTTAATTAGGAAAAGCCAAAAAAAAATAGAACCGAGGCCCGGCCCGGACCCGGGATTACCCGGGCCGGTTCCGGGCCTCCGGCCTCCCATTCCTGAACCGAGGCCCGGCCGGGCCCAGGCCCGAACCGGAACCGGTCCACCCCTACCGGTCCACCACTAATGCCAAACACACTCTTCCTGAAACAAAATACTTCATACAAAATTAGGGCTTCCTTAAAACATAAATGATGTTTAATCAAAGCTTTTTTGAAGATTACAACAAATTCAAAACAATCGTTAAGAATATACTCTGTCTTAAAAAAAGCTTCAATTACAAACACAACTTGTTAAGCCGGAGTTAAGATATTCTTGGTATTGTTAGATTTCGTGAGATTTAACTTTAGCTGTGATTATTATTGCCCACAAATCCCCACAATAATACATAGCATAGTACTTGCTATTTATCTGAGTATACTATCTACCGCAGATATTTGGTTGTTAGAATCCGAGCCACTACTACACAGCTTCATCTACACTCCCTACACTTCTCATATTCAATTCACAAATATGTTAACATGATCAATCTCATAATATGTTAGGTAGGCTCTACACTCCCTAGACTTCTCAAATTCAATTCATACATATTTTATGATGACCAATTTCATAATATATTAGGTAGGCAGATGTCTATGGCATGACCAATCTTTTTGGCAGGCTGATCTATGCTTTGATATTCTGATCTCAGTGACCAATGGTACTAGGGAATTCAGAGTCATTCTCAGTCACTTTGAAGGGTTGAGGGTGTTGGCCACAGCAGTAGATATTCCACATCTTTAAATATGCCCGCTCCAGATTCTTCACCTGTCGAAAGAGTCATGGAAAACATGAAAAGGCATTGAAAACAGAAAGCCGTGACTGCCCTGAATTACTACCTCTTCAAGTTGTTTTAATCTCATAGCAACTAGACTAGACCAGACTTAAATAATGTTCCACTCTTCTATATTAGTTGTCTCACTTTCCTCTTAGAGCTGTTTCATATTATTTGTCTTGCTTCTTTACTCGTCTAACTTCCTTATTTGGAAATAGGTCCAACTAAAAACACAAATTTGTGCTTCAACTGTACTGTGCACCATAGAGTACCATAACAGTAGCAAAACAACAGTTTTTACCACTCTCTTAAGTGAGCCGACTAATATAGAACAAATGAAGTAATAAAATACACGTAATGCAAGACCAGTTCAGACCAAAAAATTGCAGTCCAAATGAACATGTCCTTATACTCACCCAACGTGCTGTATCGAACAGAGGGCATGTCATGCGTGCAGCCTTGAGTCTACTGGTGAGATCTTGCAGTTTTGGGCGATTAAGTGCCAGTGATATCGCCTTCTCTTCATATTCCTTCACACTGCAAAGAGAACAAGATGTGTGCAATGACAGATGGAAAACGTATAACTGGAAATGAACAAGTATTATCCATGAAAAATTCAAAAATATATGTATACCCGAATGAATAATGGCCACCACTGAGATGGAAGTTTGGTTGGTTTTAGTTTGTGTTAGTTGGGTAGTGTTGAATATATTTCACTCGTTCTCAAATTCACATACTCAAAATTATTTTCCTTTCATTTAACAGTGCTTCCATCATTCTAAACACAAGTGCATGTGTACGAGTTGTAAAAGTATCGGTAATTTTTACTAACAATAAAACGGTGTTCCCTTGTGTAGCGCGTTGTGTTTTGCTTATATTGTTTTACAATAACTACCAAAAAAATCATGTAATATTATTTGTACTCTCCGTCCCAACTATAAGGAGTCTTTGGTTTTTGAGCGATTTTTGCAAGTATTTTAAAAATTGAACCAAACGGGCTAACAGTGACAAATCATTTCAATTATTGAGTGAATAAATTAGGAGCAAAAAAAATAGTGGGTAATCATTTCAACAAACTAGTAAAGTAGACATGACTTTGGGATGGGATAAAAGAGAACAAAATAGTTAACATGACCATAAACGTAACAAATTGAATATTAATCGTACAAATAAGAGAGGTAAATGGTCTTCTCTTGTTTTTACTTTTTAGCAAAACAAACATAACTTCTGAACTCTTTATTAATTCTAAATTCAACCAAAGCAACAGAATGAGACAATGACTAATCACCGTAATCCTTACCAAACAAGTTGCATGATTATTTAACAAAGAAAATTGAAGCAAAAAAAAAAAGAGAAGAATAAAACAATAAGCTGAATAGAGATGATTCTCATATACCCACCTGCTGACAATCATCTCATCCCCCAAACCTGTAGCCAAACACAATGAACCAGCCACTCTTGTTGCCATTTTCTTGAGAGGAAGAGTCACCATTGGTAGACCAGCCCAAAGCACATCAGTTCCAGTTGTGTGGCCATTGCACAAGGGCCTATCAAGTAAACAAAAGTTGCAACTTTTCATTCACATGGAAACTATGAAGCTAGTAGAAATAATTTTGTTTTCTGGTATACTCCTTTAAAATGAATGGAAAATGAGGTCATGGTATTCCATACGTGTCAAGGAATAAATCCGCCAAAGAACTGCGTCTTATATGCTCCTGCTTCATTGCAACATCTGTGAATATGATTTGATCTGGTTGTACCCCTTGTGCAGCTGCATCTGATAAAACATTATTACTTGGTTAACTTCTATCACCAATTTCTCTTTCAAAAAATAAATTTTATTTTTAATTTGATAAGTGCTGCAGAAGTCTAATCAAGGAAACTTGTTGTATAATAGCAGAGAACTAATTAAATACACACAGGCACGAAGCCGCATTTCACCAGCAGCTGGAAATCTGAGAAGCCATAGTGCACTGTTTGGTACATGCTTAAGAATATTACACCTGCAACAAACCTTTAATTATTCAGATCAAGGAGACAAATAATAATAGTGTACAACCAACATCGGATAAAATCCATCTAGGATTACCAGGTCATAAATATTTCGGGGTCCATCTTGTAGAGTTGATTGAAACAAGCAAATATAAATTTGTCTTCTGGCAGTCCATAGTCTGAGCGCCTTGGTTGAAATTTTGGATCTAATACATCTCGGTTTTTCTAGGGCATTGTAAAAGAGATAATCAACAACTAAGGGGGAAAGAAAAACATAAAACCTTTAGGGTCTATTGGTAGAAGGTTTTGGATGGGAAGATGGTTTTTTTAAAGGATAGCATTTTAAACTGATTATTTAAAAAATAAAAGATGTGAAATGACAAATTAAAAAAATACTCAATATATTAGTCATTCATTAATTGTGATAACTCAAATATGAATCTCTTAATTTAAAGATTAAAAAATTATTCCCCTCTTCCCTTCCAAGACTGCTCACCCAAACATACCCCATCCCCCTAATACATATCAAAATCAGAAAGCGAAACTTACCTGCTTATAATCATTAACAAAATAACAATGTGGTAGGTGAACAAGCTTCTCAGAATAAATATTTGAGTATTTTGTAGGTGAGACAAACTGCCAAAGTTGAAGGAAAAGAAGAACCATTAAGGGTGTCAAAATGAACTACATGATTAATTTATCAAAATGAAAAAGGAAAAATACCTCATCAGTCACTATATAATGTATATAAGAGGCTCCAGTTGTTCCAGGGAATCCCATGTATGAAACCTGGATTGGAGCAGGCTGCAAGGCAAATATCTCATTTCTAGCCCCCTGTAAAATTGTTTTGATTAAGTCAAATCCAAACATGACATATGATGAAATTCAAAAGTCACGTGCCTAAACTGAAACGAATATATGAATATGAAAAATAAGAGGCGAAGTATGACTTGTGAGA